ATCCAGTGAGTGGGCCAGCAGGTGGCATGGTGGTTAAGATGCTGGACTCCCACAAGGCTGATTCAGAATCCTGGACTGACAGCTTGCTTTCTCTTTCACGTGCCTTGTAGCAAATTTAAAAACTAATAATAGGGGACCAGCAGATGGCATAATGATTATGTCACCAGACTCCTATATGGCCACCACGGTTCCAGTCCTAGACCCGGTGGCTTGAAACTCACGCTTGGCACGTGTCTGTGGGTGCCCAAAATCCCCAGAGGTGGATGGAGGAGAAGAGACTGCAGTGTGGCTATCTCCCCTGGGAGGGTGATTTCTCTCTGTCACTCTGTCTCTCCTGTGAGTGCACCTGCCCTATAGCAAAAATTTCTCTTAAATTAATAGTAATGATAAATAAATAAATCATTTTTTTAAATATCCATTGAGGAAATTTGACCTATTTTTGGCTTCTTGGTTCTGTTCTATATTTGTCTCCATCAACCAGTGGTTGTACCAGCATTCCTCCCAGCAATGCACAAGAGTTCCAATTTCTCCGGTCAATCTATGTTTTAAAAAAAGAAGGCCGAGGCAAAGCAAGGAAAGCAAAAGATTTCATTTGGGCTGGGGTTAGGATGAGCGCCCAGATATCACAAAATCCAAGTTTCCCTGGAAAATGTGCACCAACATATTACACACTGGGCATGTGTGCATGTGTGCATGTGTGCATGTGTGTGTGTGTGTGTGTGTGTGTGTGTCTGTGAGCCCAAAATCCCAATTTTTTTTAAAAGATGGAGGAGGAGGGGTTGCAGCATGATTATTAATTCTTTTCTTTCTGTCTTTCTCTCTGGCCAGTGCATACACCCTCTGGCAAATTTTTTTTAAAAAAAGAGAGAGAGAAAGGGGCCTGTAGGTGGCATGGTAGCTAAGGCACTGGACTCTCATGTGGTTGACTGCAGTTTGAGTCCTGGACCTGGTGGCTTATCTTCTCACTTTCACTAAATAAATAAAATAAAAACAAAAAAGAGAAAAGGTGTACAGATTTATTTTAATTTCTACATGTGCCTGTGGTCACTGTATAAAGTATGGCTCCAGGAAAGTCAGTGACTGAAGGTTTATGTGGTACAAGACAGAAGAGGTTTGGCCATGAAAGGTTGGGGTGGGGGCCAGCAGGTGGCATGGTGGTTAAGGTGCGGGACTGCCACATGGTCTACTGTGGTTCAAGTTCTAGGAAAGTGCTTTATCATTTTCCTTCTCTTTGGTGAGCACACATGCCCTATACCTAGTTTAAAATAAAAACAACAATAATAAAATTAATAAAAATATTTAAAATTTTAAAAAATTAAATAATTTTTAAAACAAAAAAACAAAAAAAAAGAAAGGGTAGTGGTGGGGATAAGAGAAAGACTGGGACAGATGTCGTCCAGCGAATCCCTTCTTCCTGTGCTGAGAAAGGTAAGAAAGAAAGGTAAGAAAGCCTGGTGGCATTGGCAGCTGACTTTACTGATGTCAATTTCTTTCGTGAAAGATTAGCAAGTTAGTATTTTTAAAGATTTTATTTTATTTATTGTCATTATTTTATCTTATTTTTTGAAGTTAACCAGAGAGAGATAGAGAAGGAAAGTAAGAAAGCAAGCTGCCAGGTCCGGGACTTGAACCACGGTCTGCAATGTGGGAGTCAGCTGCCTTAGCCACCATGCCACCTGCTGGCCATGCAAGTTGATTCTTGTGTCTGTAGCCCTCTGAATACCCTTAAAGTATGCCAAAGAAGCATATTTTAGGGTGGTACATATTCATCCCCACACCTCAACCTTAGGATCCTCCTGCTTAGCCTCCGTGTAGCTGGTACTATGGGCACCTGCCTCTGCACCTGGCATGACCTATCTTTAAATCAGGTTGTTTCTTTTGTTTTTAAGTTGTAAGAGTTTTACTTAATTCTGCTCATCAATTCCTTCTTGGATAAACATTTTCCCTGTCTTATGACTGTCTTTTTATCCTATTGATAGTGTCCTGTGATGTACAAAAATTGTTGATTATTTTAAAGGTTTTTGCCATAGGGCATACATGCTCTCCAGAGGAAGACAGTGACAGTGAGAGCAAAAGTGAGAAATCACTCGCCGTGGTGATGGCCAAACCATAACCCCTTCTCCATTCTCCTGGGATTTTGGGCATGCACACACACATGCCTGACATGATTTTCAAGTCACCAGGTCCAGGTCTGGAACTGCTGTTGGCCATGTGGGAGTCTAGTGCCTTAACCATTATGCCACCTGCTGGTTCCCCAAAATTCCTAATTTTGATTAAGTCCAGTTCATATATTTTTTTCTTTTTTTTTTTGGAGAGATTTTCACTATAGGGCGCGTGCGCTCGCCAGACAGACAGAGAGAGACATTAGAGACAGAAAGCGAGAAATCACCCCCCAGGGGGGATGGTCACACCGCAATCCCTTCTCCTCCATTCTCCTCTCGGGATCTTGGGCACGCACGCCCACGCGCCCGGCGTGAGTTTTAAGCCACCGGGTCCAGGACGCGAACCGTGGTCGACCACGTGGGAGTCCAGTGACATAGCCATTACGCTAACTGCTGGTTCCCCATATATTTTTTTCTTTCACTAAGCATTGTGCCCATGTAGGAGAGGCAAATTCTGTTGTTATTGTTTGTTTGTACATGATCATAAACTACTGGTATATGCTAAAAGTTGAGGTTGCTGAAAATCAAAAATTCTGATCAATATGGATATATGTAATTCTGTTAATACATCCAAGTTTACAAGCTTAATAGCTCCTCTGGAAAATGTGAGATTTCCCAAGGAGGAGTAGGAAAAGATAAGCATGGATAGTTAATAAACCTGGGCCTTTGTATCGGGAAACAAAGCTAGGGAACGCCTGTCCAGGAATGAAGCAGGGTAGGAGTCTCAAGGAATGGGGTGGGACAAGTTGAGGCTAGAGCTCCTGGCTGCCTTCTCCCTCCCTGCCTTCTTGTACGCCTTCCATTTCTCTTAGGCCTCTGCCCCTCTGGACTCTCCCCTTAGTTAAACGATCAAGAGGGTTAGCCAGAAAAATTAGAATTTAGATTAAGACTGCACTCTCCAGCTAAGGCAGATGCCGTGTAAAACCTGTAAACTGGGCTCTGCCCTCTTGGCAATACTCAGCTGCTCTTTGCAGGATCTATTGGAACTCGGGTTCCCTTCTTAGTGTAGGATCTCTCAGAGATCAGAACAGATATAAAAAAAAGTTCGCAGATAACTCAGAAAAGTGTTATAACAAATTGGCAAGGCATCTTAACTTTTGATTTGACTCCCACTTAAATGGCACCCAGTAGTCACTGGTAATCCTGAAGGCTAGAATTCCTCTGAGGGCAGGATCTGGAAACAGCGCAGATCAGAGCCTCTGGAAGAAAATGTTTCCAATGCGGGCAGCCAGGGCACTAGACAGTGCCCGTAACTGGGATCCCCACTGGGGCCTTGTCTCCAGTGTAGAGCTGGTCACTAGAGATGGAATGTGCGTGGTTCTGAAATTGAGCTCAGGACTTCTAAAGCCCATGCTGGCCCATGAAATTAAGAACTGATGGGGCCCAAGGCCCCAGTGGCTCCCCTTGGACTTCTGGCATTCTCCCTAGATAAGCCTCAGGTAACTCTTAAAGGGACTAAAATAATTAAGGTTTCTTTTTTATTTTAAGAATTATTTTATTTACTATTATTTATTGTCATTATTTTAATTTTATTTTTTTGAAGCTGAACAGAGAAAGAGAGAGAAGGAAAGTGAGTAAGCAAGCTCCCAGGTCTGGGTTGAACCATGGTCAGCCATGTGGTAGTCCAGCCACCACGCCACCTGCAGGCCCCAATAATTAAGGTTTCTTTAAATAATTTCTGTCTAAATCAGAGGTTAAGGTTATTTTCTAAAAGTATATTCATTAAAAAAAAAAAAAAGAAAGAAAAGAAAAGAAAAGCAAGGAAAAATAACAAGCTAGTTGGCTGACCATGTAGCAAAAAAGACAGTTATGAAACCTAGCCAGGGGAGACACCTGTACCAGCAACGAGGGTCCTGTTGTTGCCAGAGCTCCTCACCCTGTGCGAACATGTAACCTGCGTCAGGAACAACACCCAGCAGAGGCCAAGCCGGCCCACTGCGGTCCAGGCTATTAGGAACCGCCCCTCACAAGGACCTAGAAGTGGCCTTTACTAAGTCGATCCCTGCCGAGGCTACCAACATCTGTTGGTTCTAGTCTGTACCTATTTGGGCTGAATTAAGGCATTCCCCACCAGAACAGAAAA